CAGTTGCTCTATTGGTGGAAATTTCAGCTGTTTAAAATTTTTTTTATTCCATATCCAATGCTGCAGTGAACACCTTTTCTGTATGTTTTTCATGAACGTGTGCAATTGTTTCTCTCGACTGTATTCTTTTTTTAAAAAATTTATTTATTAGAGAGAGAGAGAGTGAGAGAGAGAGTGCAAGAGGGGGTAGGGTTAGAGGGAGAAGCAGACTCCCCGCCGAGCAGGGAGCCCGATGTGGGACTCGATCCCGGGACTCCGGGATCGTGACCTGAGCCGAAGGCAGTCGCTTAACCAACTGAGCCACCCAAGGCGTCCTCGACTGTATTCTTAAAAGTGGAACTGCTAGATCATAGGGAATTCACATTTAAGATTTTAATAGGTCCCACCAAATCTGCCCTCTAAAACATCTGTATCCATCTACATTCCCAGCAACATGAATGAAATTTGCTGGTGTTAGCGGCCATTGTATTTTTATCTCTTATTTTTGCAAATCTGATGGATAAAAAATATTTCATTGTTTCATTTTGCACTTCCCTAATCACTGGTGACATGGGTTGAGCATCAGTTTGTATGTTAGTTGGCAATTTCTAATTCCCCCTTCTGTCAATTACCTGTTTATTTCTCGTAGAACTGTAGAAGCTCTTTTTACACTTTAGAAAAAGCCTTTGTGATACAGGTTGCAAATTTCCTCTATTTGTAGTTTGTCTTTACTTTTGTTTATAGCATCTTTCAGTATGCATAGGGTTTTTTTTTTTATTTTAGTAAGTTTAAATCTGTCGGTCTTTTCTTATATGGCTTTGGGATTTTGTATCACAATTACAAAAACCTTCTCTACTCCTAAAGCTATAAAAACATTCTCCTATATTTTCTCCTCATATTTTTAGAATTTGTTTTTAATCCATCTGGAATCTATTTTTGTGACTAGTGTTTGTGTGGGATGGTCTCATTTTATTTTTTCCTGATGGATGGCCTATTTTCCCAGCACATTTTCTTGAATAGCCCATTCTTTCCCTGCTGACTTACATTATGCCAAATTCCCGTGTAAACATGAATTTGATCTTGGTCTCACTTTTCTGTCCTATTGCTCTTTTTGTTATTCGGATGCCTTTACTTACTTATCTTCCATTCACTCATGGCAATTTAGCTTCCACCCACAACTTCCCTGGAATTATTATTCCTTAGTGTATTAATGACCTTCATGGTGCCAAACCCAATGGATATTTTTCAGTTCCATTTATTATTCCCTCCCATTATGCTACATGGTACAACTCTCCCTCGATTCTTCTACCAATAAAAGTCATGATCATAACAATATCTTCTGTTTGTTAGTTACTCTGTGCCAGGCACTGTTTTTTCTTAAGAATTTATTTATTTATTTGAGAGAGAAAGACAGCATGAGTGGGAGGAGGATCAGAGGGAGAGGGAGAAGCAGGCTCCCCGCTGAGCAAGGAGACCAAGGCGAGGCTCGATCCCAGGACCCTGAGATCATGACCTGAGCAGAAGGCAGACGCTTAACCGACTGCGCCACCCAGGCGCCCCTGTGCCCGGCACTGTTGAAGCATTTCATATGCCAGACACGTCAAGGATGCCTCACCACAACCCTCTACGGTAGATATTAGTATCATCATCATCCCCACTTTACAGGTGAGAAAACTGAGCCATAGAGAATTTAAGTGTCTTATAGTGTAAGCTCTGAGAGTTGGTTTTTCTTTTTTGCCATGCAAGTGCCTGATTTAAGTTTTATTGCTGAGGCATCCACTTCAAAGACAACTGACTATCTGGAATAAACACACTGCCAGCCACCTAAAGGTGAAGTCAGCCCTCCCTTCGCTCCCTCCCCGCCCCCCGCACGGGGCTCCTTTGTTTCAGAAATCTTGGTTGATTTCCATAAGTGACCCTTTGGGCCACTTGTTTTTTCTCTTCCACTGCTTTAAATTCTCGCTCTTATGTTTTCAATTCACCCATCTAGGGGCGCCTGGGTGGCTCAGTAGGTCGGGCATCTGCCTTTGGCTCAGATCATGATCCCAGGGTCTTGAGATCGAGCCCCACGTCCAGCTCCCTGCTCAGTGGGGAGTCCGCTCCTCCCTCTTCCTCTACCCCCACCCCTCCCCCGGCTTGTGCTCGCTCTCTCACTCACTCTCTCAAGTGAATAAATAAAATCCAAACAATAAATTCACCCATCTAGAGCAAGCCCACCAAATCCTAGACCTAAACCCTCCATCTCAATAAAAGCAGAACACCAGACCCACACCCGCGTTCTCTTTCTCTAGCCCGAGACCTCACTGTGTGGTCCCAGCTGTGCCATGTGTTTCCCAGGACCTGTGAATAATAAACCTTTCGGGTCTCCAAGTTCCCTGATGGTTATTGCTGACAGCGTCTTGCAATCATAAGAACCACAGGGGCCGGACCAGCCAGAACATTAGTTATCAATAGGCTGACAGAGGCACAAAACACTTGTCCAGCATCACCGGGCTAATCAGTGACAAGATGGGACTGGAACCCAGGTCGGTCTGAGACCAAAGCCTAAGTTCTAGCCTGTCCTCGGTCTCCCTCCTGAGTTCCTTTTGCTCCTGCATCTTTTTTTTTTAAGATTGTATCCATGTATTTGACAGACAGACAGAGATCACAAGCAGGGGGAGGGGCAAAGGGAGAGGGAGAAGCAGGCTTCCTGCTGAGCTGGGAGCCCAATGCGGGGCTCGATCCCAGGACCCTGGGATCATGACCTGAGCCGAAGGCAGACGTTTAACCCACTGAGCCACCCAGGCGCCCCGTGCTCCTGCATCTTTTAAATAGTGGCTTTCCCCAGGGTATGGCCTTAATCACTGTTTTTCTTAGAAGACCACGCACCGTGGGTAAAGGATCACATTCTCGTGCTCTGCTTCAATACGGCTGCACTGACATATCCATGCCCGAATGAGCCCATCAGTATGGAGAAAACACTGCTTTTTATTACGAATCCCTGGAGCTTGCTCTACCCCTGCTCTCCAGCCCAGTTTCTGAGAGGCTCTTCATTTCTACTTATTTGAGTTTGTATTATTTGATTTTGCATTAGTATGCATCATGTTTATAATCAGGAAAAACAATAAGGATATTACTAATGTACTGGAAGTAGATTAGCCTCTAAGGGGCTGTATCAGCTCAGTCCTCCCAAACCATCATTACCAAAGCGGTTTCCAATATCACATATGTTAAATGTATGTTGCCGAGAATTGTGAGAAATTTAATTGAAAAGATCCTGAGCCATCTGTGGCTGAGATGACCCCAAATATCAATCCCCTTTCCCCAGGGTCCAATTTATTCTCAAGCAAACAAAATTAGCATAATAAGCAAAGCTATAAAAAGCAGAGGTGTCCGTCTAGGATGTCAAACGAAAAACAAAATTCAGTTCCATTATTAAGAAGCTGAATATATGTATTCATTATCAGGAAATGGGTATGGCTGTTGGAACTTCAAGGGAGAAATAGGAGAACTGGGGATCCAGCTCAGCTAAGAAGCAGGAGAATCCTAAAAGGATGAGCAGACACTCCTCAAAATGATGAATGGCCTTTTCTGAGATGGGCATTGTGATAACCACGTGACGTCTAGTTAAGTGCAGATGGTGCCTGGCCCCCTCCCTGACCCCGGCCCTCAACACATCCCCCGTGTCTGAGCCGCCCCACCCCTCACTCACACTCCATTCTCAACTCCCCCCACCCCGCTGCAGTCTCTCCTCCTACCTCTCTGCATATTCCTGCTCAGTCTCTTTCCAGAATGTGTCATTTGCTCCATCTGCTGACTTAACATCCTAAGGTTTTTGTCTGTAGCCCAGTGTTCACCACGCTCCACTCTGAACCCTGGGTGGTCTTACACGTGTCTGCGGTTGGAACATAGCCCCTATACCTTGATAATCCAAATCGGTATTTCCAGTGCTGACCCTCTGCCGACCTCTAACCCCTGTATATTCAGCTGCCTACCACAGAAGGTCATCAGGGGTCTCAGTAGTCCACGGAGAGCGCAACCTCAACAGGTCTAAAACACAGCTGATTCTTTTCACACGTGGTTCTCTTATATTAATTCTCCAGAAATCTGGACCTCATTCTAGATTCTTCTTTTGCCTTCACAACCTCACACCAAGTCTCTGCCGAGTCCTGTTGATTCTACCTACTCGATATTTACCAAACCTGCCTCCTTTTTCCTATCTCAGCACCTGTGTCACCTCTGGCCTCGATCTAATTGGTCCAAGAGTCTCCTAATTGGTCTTCCTGCTCTCCCTACCCTTCCAAACAACCTACTTCAAGACCAATCAGACTATCTTCTTTTTTTTAAGATTTTATTTATTTATTTGCGAGAGAGAGCACAAGCAGGGGGAGGGGCAGAGGGAGAGGGAGAGGGAGAAGCAGACTCCTGGCTGAGCAGGGAACCCGATGCAGGGCTCGATCCCAGGACCCTGGGATCATGACCTGAGCCGAAGGCAGATCTTCACCAACTGAGCCACCCAGGCGCCCTGAGACTATCTCATAAAACCTACTTCATAAAACCTCTCAATGGCTCCATGTCTGCACATTCTCCCCACATGGAACAGACTGTTCTCCCCCTCATGTGCTCATTGTTACTTGTCCTGTACCTCTTCGCACCCTGTCCTTCCCAAAGCATATCACACTCGATGGAACTTATTTGCTCAAAACCGGTCTCCCCGGTGAGTGCCTCAAGGGCAGAGACAAAGTCATTCCTTTCTAGATTGTCAGGGCACGGCAGCGCCTGGCACAAGGTAGGAAGGAGCTCAAGACATGCCTGCCACATGGACTGGAGACCTCACCCCATGTATATTGGAAAGACACCTTTCCTTTGGCAGAGCGCGTGGAGTAGACTGGTTGGTGGAAACAGGGACCCTGGGTGGAGGCGCCACTTGGAGGGGTCTGCGCCCTGCACACGCCATTTTGGGAGGAGGTCCAGGCAGGACCCCGTGGTGAGCTCCTCCCCGTGGCCTGCCACCAGCCTCCACGCCCCATCCCCTTCCTTACCTGTCTTCCTTGTTGATCTGGTCCCCAAAGCCCACCGTGCTAACAATGGTGAGCTTCAGCCCCACGTTGCTCTCTTGGAGGTCATAGGTATTGGACCGAAGCTGGACACCCGGCTGTGTGTGGGTGGCCGGCTCCCCCTCAAACTTGGTGTTGAACAGGGTGTCCATGAGGGTAGACTTGCCCAAACCGGTCTCTCCTGAAAAGCAAAAGGACAAATTACGGAACGTTCACACAACAGCCGTGCAGACCCCACATCATGTTTTGGACGTATATTCATCGACGTGGGGGCACGTACGCAGTAAGACACTAAATGAAGAGCGAATAAAACTAGATAGACTGTTCGCTCTCAGTTAAGTGAAAGAGACTGACAGGAACTGCTTCAACATATCAGCAACAGCATCTCAGGATAGTGGAACTGGGGTAATTTTCCTTTTAGTCTTCCTATTTTTGTGTCATTTGAAGGTTGAGGATGCATGGCTTTTATCGTCAGAAAAAGAAACTCTGTTGCAAGCAGTGATGGAGAGACAGCAGTTATGCCTGGAAAAGTCCAGAAGGACATACAATATACTCTTACCAAGAGGGCTATCACTACGTGGTGGGGGTGATGTGTGGTTTTCGTTTCTCTCTTCACGCTTCTGTGTATCTTCCAAGTTTTCTAGGTGGAACATGCATAGCTTTTTTTTTTTTTTAAAGATTTTATTTTTTTATTTGACAGAGAGAGAGAGAGCGAGAGCAGGAACACAAGCAGGGGGAGTGGGAGAGGGAGAAGCAGGCTTCCCGCCAAGCTGGGAGCCCGATGCGGGGCTCGATCCCAGGACCCTGGGATCATGACCTGAGCCGAAGGCAGACGCTTAACGACTGACCCACCCGGGCGCCCCATGCACAGCGTTTGTAATAAAAATCAAAGGGCTGTTTTCGATTTTAAAAGAAAGGGACAGTGGTCCCTCGTCGAATAAATATCCTCTCCTTTTCATCGCCACCTCACCTCCCTGCCAGGCCCAGACTGCGCTCTGCACATGCCCGGATGTGTATCCCAGTGGGGAGGCCATTTTTAGCTAATGGGGAGGGAAGTTAGCAGGCCACAAATTCTTCTTCTCCTTAAATTTCAAACAAACCAGTCATTTGTTTGTTTAACTAACAGGCTGCGGGATACTAATAAATTAAACCATTGGAATTCCAAGTCTTGACTTTCACACCAAGGAAAGGAGGGGGGAAAGCCTGTGGAGACCAGTGAAGGTTTTTTGGAGGTCATTCCTGGGAGACCCGAGGGAGGTCAAGCCACTGCCAGGAGCCAAGGGGTCTTGAGGAAAAGAAGACATTGGAGGAGAGTTGGTGGCCTGGGAGTTGGGCAGGAATGTGCCAGGAGGCCCCAAGCTGGGCGGGGCACTACAGGGGCTTGTCACCTGCAGGGATCCAGACCATATTTGGGCTTCTCTGTCCCCCCCCCCCCCCAGCGATTTAGGAATGCCAGGAATAAAGGATTCAGTAGCTAATCACCCCGGATTGCCTTTTGAATACCTAGACCACCCTGCTATTCTGCTTTCCAGGGCTAGGGTTAGAGCCACACGTCTAAATGCAAATGGCCCCGCTCCCCCTTCCACCTTCTGGGTGTGTCTAGCTTTGCATCTTGCATGCCTTTTATCCTGAATAACGAGCGATGAATACAGGAGGTGCTTTTTCAAATCTCTGTCTCCGATGAGAGCTGTGTGTGTGTGTAGAGATTGATGAGAGAGAGAACAAGAAGAACATTCAACTCAGCCTGGCTCCCCAGCCCCCCCAGCCCAGCTTCGTAGCCAGGTCTGACTAACGTGGTGGATTGCCAGGGTGCAGGGAAATGGTCCCTCACACAGATCATGTTTCCAGCCAAGGTCTGCTATACCTATTAGAGCAAAGATTCTCTCAGAAGAGGCCCCCTTTTTTCCCCTTCCCTAAAGGAACAGGGAGTATTTGGGTCTCAAGAAAAATTTGGTGAGGTGGGGCCTTTGCAATGGGAGGTGAGAGACTTGGCCAAGCAACGGAATGTATCACCCCGCCCTCCCCGCCCAAGGTGGGGGTGCAGCTCAATTGTGTAGGGGACCAGCTCCTCTGAGGTGGGAACACAGGGGTGGCTCCTTCACCCCTAATTCACCTTCCCTCTGGGCGCAGAGGTTTCAGCTCCATTTGAGCTCATGTTTGTGTGTGCCTGATGAACTTTCCATGTACGTTCCCCCCCACCCCCTTCTGCTCCGTGAGCTCTCGGCTGAATGCCCTGCAGCTCCTAGAGGGCTGGGCCCTGTCTCCCCAGCACCCAGAGCTGGCTCCCTGGTCCCTGGGCCTAAGGATCATCAGAGAGCAGGGGATGGGGCATCCTCCCGTACTCCCCAGAGGGCCTAGCCCAGGCGGGCATGGAGGCCTCGGGCGCAGGCTACAGTGTTTGCTCAGCCGGAGGGATGGAGGCCGGCCAGGCAGGGCAGGGCAGGGCAGCAGGGGGGAACGGCAGGGCAAATGACCACGCAAAAGCCTGCCAACACAAAAGGGCTGTGGAAATTAGACGCCCAATGATGAGAGGAAGAAAAGAACCCGCGGGTGTCCAGGGAATTGTGATAAATGCAACCCGAGGAGAGGACAGAGACTCAAGCGAGCTGGTCCCATGGCCATGGGAGGGCTCCCGGTCCTCTGTGCCATCAGTGTGGAGCCTGTGGGGTGCAGGGGTCCCTCTCCATGGTTGGCATGGACCCAGCCTGAGCCTAGCATGCCGTCCTCTCCCGCGCTGGCCGGGGGCCCAGCATCGAGGAGGATCAGGTCGGCAGACGCCACACCCCTGCAGGAAGGTGGGGACTTGGCAGATGCCGCAGGAAACCTGGGGAGTCCCCAGGGGTCAATTTCTCTCTCCTCCTCCCTCCTCGGACAGACAGCAGGATTTCTTAACCCTTTTAAGGTCTTCACCACCCGGCCCAGAAGATTCCATCTCGCTTTGCTTAATGGAGATAGGATGTTGGAAACACCCAGGGTTTTTAAAAAGAATTTCCATTTAAAACGTGCAATGTGAAACACGCGTTTTCAAACTACACTCCCTAGGACAATCCACTGTTGACCTCTCTACTCAGCCTTTTTTCCTCATCTGCTGCTAATATCGCCTCCTCTGGCACCTTGTGGCCTTAAGTCCTTGCAGGTGGGGAAACGCAGAGGCCCGGCCACGTGACGCCCGGCCAGAGGCGTTGCCCTCTCTGGGCCCCAGTCTCTTTCCCCAGAAAATGGACAGGTTGGATTGATAATAATAACGATGGCTTCTGGAGCAGTTCCTATGTGCCAGGCACAGCTGTGATACTCTCTTTTCTTATTTGGTCCCCACAGTAAACCTATGAAGTAGATACTTGTCTTTCAGTTACGGGAGGGTCAGCCAAGCCACTTCGCAGCTATGTGAATTCGCCGCACTCCCCAGTCTCTCTGCACCTTACCTTCCTCATCTGTAAAATGTGGAGGAGGGAGCTGGTCTAGGGTCACAAAGGACTCAGTAGCAGAGAGGGCCCCGAATCCAGTGCGACACTGGAGACACTGGAGCCCAGACGTATAACCAATACGCCCTAGTGGGTCGTGCAGGCGCGCTACGTCGGCTCATTTGGTCATTCGACAAATGTTCACGGGGCCTCTAGCCAGAGCCACGTGCAATTTTAGGGACGAAAGATACAACAGTGAACAGGACAGCCACCATCCCTGTCCGCAGGGAGCTCATGGTCCCCAAAGCGAAGGTCTCTGCCGGCTCCGAACGGGGGGGGGGGGGGGGGGGGGGAGGGGAGATCCACCAAGAGAGACGTCTCCCGGGTTCAACAAGGAGGTGTTCAAAAGGAAACTCTCCTGGAACTCCAGGGAGCCTACCAACAGGGACAAGGTCATGGCTGACACTGTAACCTTGCCCTCTCCTTCCTGACCTTGCCGAGGCCTGGCCCACAGGGGTGTCCTGGAGCCGGCTCCCCCAGCCTCTTGCAGATCTGCTTCTCGTGTGTGTTTTATTCCAAGTTCAACGCGGCCCAGTTGAGCCTGGAATCCTGAGCAGCTTCAAAGTAAATATTGTCATGATGACTCTCTGCACTCCTCACAGGCATTACTGTTGCTGGCACATTCGGAGGGCAGCGTGTCTCCTGGGCTCTTTCTCAGCAGTGCAGAGCAACGGGCCCCAGAACGTTTGGCCCGCTGGTTCCAGGGGCTGAGGCCTCCTGCACTAGATCTAGGATCGTGGGATCCTTGCAATTTCCAGAGCTAAGCAATTAGTATATGTTTTTTGTCTGGGGTGGGGGGTGCTGGGGAGGGAGAGGGCAACCTCACCCCACTCAGTCATTATTGTCAACCATAGAAAATCTGTTCGAGAGGAGTCATAATATGCCCACACCCGTGTGCCTAGCCCTCCAAATAACTGTGGGTGCCATTTATTGGTACCCTTACATATGAATTAGGCTCTGGATTCATAAAACTCCTCTCTCCCAATCCCACCATGCATCTGTGCACACGGACACACACCTCCATCACGGTGAAGGGTGCTCACTCTGCTGGGGCGCCTACGGTCAGCAGCCCAGCACCCAGATAAACAACGCCGTGATCCAGATGTCTTAGGTCTCTGTTAATAATCGAAGCTAGCGCTACCATCAGTTTACGCTTAACATGCCCTATGAGAAAAGAAAAGAAAATCCTTTGGGGGAACATAGTCTATGCCTAACCAGACTCGTTTGAGAGCAGTCGTTAAGGGAGTAAACCTGATAGTTATGCACCGGCCGTGAGCACGAAGGAACGATCACCGAAAATCCTGCGAGAAAAAAGATCACCTTCCGCAGACAAGCTACGGACCCTTGGCCAAGCCGGTGACAGTACCCAGCCCCACGGCTGGGCTGAGATTGCAGCCTGAGAGCCCATCTCAACCGCTCGTGACCTTGGCCCAAATTGTGGGTTCTCTGAGCAATGACAGGGTTGCGAGAACAGACAGAGAGCAGGATGCGCGGACTGCCAGCTTGTTTGAATCAGGGATGGGGAATGAAATGAACCCAGTCCAGGTGGGGGCATCCACTGCACGCACCCGCAGTGCCAAGAGGGGAGCTACTGGGGCGATTTCTTGGGACTTGGCAGGTGCGGGAAGAAAGAGAGGGGGTGACTCTTTGGGGGTGAGGATCTCCTTCCTACCCCTCCCCCCTTGAAGGGTCTGGGGCAGTTGAGCAGGTGCACTCCGAGTGGCTGAGCTATACCACGCCTGGGTGGGAACTCGAGGACAGGGGTTTACTATTTCTCCCACTCACTTTGCCTTGAGTGTAGCTGCCTCCTCTTCGGGGCCCTACGGGAGCCCAGAGTCCCCATGTCTAGTTGCACTACACTTCCGGCCCTCGGAGAGCCATTCCGATTTCTGCGGCCTCCCTCCTAAAGCCTCACTCATCCGCCCAACTGCACTTAGTTGAAAGGTTGATGAGGGTGGGCCTCTCATGTCACTTCTCAACTCCTCAACTTTAGTGCAGGTCATACCGAGCTCTGGGAGGAATGCCAAGGGAATCCAATATGTTTGTGCGGAAATTTTTCAGTAATCAAATATTATGCAAAATAAGTTGGCCAACCGCCAAAGATTGGAGCGATTTGGCAGTGCTAATATTGGATGTGATAGCATCTTGATGTTGATCACCGTGACTTCTATTTATTTTGTATCCTTCTCCTAATAGCATCTCATCATAACCACGAGTAGACTTCTGGCATTTGAAGAATTGTTGGCCTAGCTCTGGATGCCAAGGCCCATGATATGTAATTCTGTGAAGCACATATTGTCATCTCCTGGCTTCCCAAGCTGATGTGTGGGAGTGAGTCATTCGGCCACTGAGTGAGCCTAGCTGACTGTCATCCATATTGAGAAGTGGACTCCTTGTTCGCTACTCATCCCTGAGTGCGCAGTTATTCTCCTATAGGAAATGATCGAGAAAGAGCACTAAGGGGGCACCTGGGTGGCTCAGTTGGTTAAGCATCTGCCTTCGGCTCAAGTCATGATCCCAGGGTCCTGGGATCGAGCCCCGCGTCGGGCTCTCTGCTCAGCGAGGAGCCTGCTTCTCCTTCTCCCTCTGCCCCTGCTCATGTGTGCTCTCTCTCTCTCTCTCTGTCAAATAAATAAATAAAATCTTTAAAAGAAAAAAAAAAAAGAAAGAGAGCGCTAAGGATGGAGGAAAAGAAAAAGAGAGAGTCCAAGAAAATGAACGACCCCAGTTAGAAAACAGAGCTTCAGGCGACATTAAAGAGTAAAATATCCAATTCAGCGGTGGGTCGGAGCCTCAACATGAATGAGTTCCCCATACGCTCTCTAGAAAAATAAGAAAGGGCAATCAGCAAAAGTGTCTGAGTGTTCCAACCAGCGGGAAAACAGACTCTATTATAGTATTTATACAATCATTAAGGTTTGGAAGTAGGGCACTGAAAATGAGCAAGTATACTTTGCTGCACAATAGAGTGAAAATCATATGCTATGATCGCGTTTGCAAATTCGGGACTTTGGAAGGTCTAAGGAGAGATTCTTCAAGAATGTCAAAGAACTCTTGTTCCTCACATTTGCTTGGCTGGTGCCTGACCAGTTCCTAAGTGCCTTTGTGTTCTCAAGAGATGTCGCTAGCAGCAGTTAGAGAAGCGGTGGGAGGGCCAAGGGGTCAGCCAGACCTGGGGCCTTGTCCACTCCACCACTTACTCTGTGTCGCCCTGGTCAAGTCTCTTATCCTCCCGAAATGTCTGTGAAGATACAAATGTTACTCACTCTACTCACTTCACGGACTCCTAGGAAGGACTCAAATTGCTACTATGGGAAAGTATCTGAGAAATAGAAGGAGTGGTGCCCGTGGGGTTAATGCATTCATTCATTTCACAAACATTCCTGAACTCTCTTGGTGCTGTGATTAGCACATTCGAGACTAAAGGTCCAGGTGGAGATACGCTTTTTTTTTTTTTTTAAGATTTTATTTATTTATTTGTCAGAGAGAGAGAGAGTGCAGAAGCAGGGGGGAGCGGCAGGCAGAGAGAGAAGCAGGCTCCCTGCGTAGCAAGGAGCCCGATGCGGGGCTCGATCCCAGGACCCCGGGATCATGACCTGAGCCAAAGGCAGACGCTTAATCGACTGAGCCACCCAGGCGTCCCTGGGTGGAGATAGGCTTAAAGGCAATAAGAGAATTCGCACCCTTGAGCTCAGACTGTAGCGAGCATCGCAGGGCTACAGAGGACACAACACCAGCCCACTGCCCACAGCCGGTGGGCAGGCATCCTACCACAGCCACCAACCTCCCTCCCAATTCTGCCCTGGCTCCTGTTTTCTGCAGTCCAAGTGAACTTGACCGCAGAAGCTGAGCCAGCCGGCTCCCTTACAAAAATTTCCACTGGGCGTCACGCGGCTCCCCAAGGTCCGGCCCCGTATTCTGGTCTGACCAGGGAAAAATAGCATCACAGCCGGCTGCTCACAAAGGCAAACAGAGGGATAAAAGAGGAAGAGGGGGGAAGCCAGTTTTGCAAATAGACCAGAATGACACAGTATTTAACCTAATTACCTGCCAAGCCACATCCAGCCATTAAGGATCCATATTCTGTAATAGAATTTCCTGCTATGGAAATACTCACCCACGCACAGGATGTTGAAGCAGAAGCCCTGGCTGACTGACTTATTCACCAGCTGGTCGGGCAAGCTGTCAAACCCCACATGTCCAGCCAGGGGGACGGTGCGGCAACCTTCACCCTAATGTGGAAGGGAAGGGAGGGAGGGGAGAAAACGAAAATGGGCTTAAAAGCAATCCGGGTTCTCACTTCTCATCCAAATGACTTGCGAGCGAGGAAGGAGCCCCTGCCCAGGCCCAGGGTGTCGTGTCTTCCCTTAGGTCCTCCCTGCTCCAAAGCAGAACGGCCCCCAGCTTGGAAGCCATGGGTTCTTAGGTGCAGGCCTCTCGCAGGCTCCGAGGGCAAGGTCGCCCTAGGTCCACACAGAGCCAAGTGCCCAGGTGGCTTCCGGGCCGGCGGGGGAGGGCGGGGGCAGGGGATGAGGTTCACGGACTTGGGGTAGCTCTCCAAGCAACCACTTATAAGCCGGGTCACCTCTCCGTGACTCCGTTTCCTTGCACGTCTGTCCCATGAGATAATAGCGTCTATCTGACAGGTGGTCGGGGGGGGACTCAAACGAGCTTAGCACAAGGCCTGGGCCGTGTCTAAGCGTCCGGTAAATATCACAAAAGGACATCAAAAAGCAACTCCTCCTCTCTCCAGGCCATTTTGGGGCAACTACAAAGGTGGCATAGGCCCCACCCCCTGCCCCTTCTGACCTCGGACAAGTTACTTCAGTCCTCAGAGTCTCCCCATCTGTGAACTCAGGGACAAGCAGCGACTAGCTCACAGGACTGGGGCGAGGATCACACAGCGCTGAGTGTGGTGCTTGGCACGTGGGGAGCATCCCATCCACAGAAGCTGCTCCTCCTATCGCTCTGCGACGTTACCCCTCTCCTCGGACTCCCCAAATAACACGGGACACCATGGGACACTTGGGGCTCCCCCCAGCTCGCGAGAGCTGCCTCCGTGCTCCCCCGCACTGGGTTCCCTGCTCTCCACGGGGGTCAGCCAGGCCATTCACAGCCCTGAAAAGCAGAGGGCCCGTGCTCCACCTGCTAGTCCCAGCGCTTCTTACTGTTAATGGTTTTATAAAACAGGGAGAGCCTCAAACTGGGGCAGGCTTCCAAGGAGCCGGGGAGGTGGGGGGGGGGGGGGCGGGGAGGCCTGCATGTACTCAAGAAAAGTGCTAACCACCAATGGCCCCAGGGGAAGAGAGGAGGACGGTGGGGCGCAGCTAAACAGGAGGTATGGGCTATGTAAGGAGCCAGCAGTTTCTGTTGGGCGGGGGCTACACTGAGATTTCCGGGAGCCAGAAGGGTGCCCAGAGCGATCCAAGAAGGGCATGGGCAGTGTCAGGAGGCCCGCCCCAGCATCCCGGGCTGTGCTAGCGGGAACACTTTCTGCTCGCCTGGACCTGCTTTCAGGCTAGGTCCCTGAGGGGGCATTTGCACCCAGAGAGGGATGGGCTGAGCCCCTCAGCAGCTGCTGTTGCCAGAATGAGTGCCCAGATAGCCCCTGCACCCAGTGGTGCCATCGGGTGTTCCAAGAGCGAGAGACAGGGCTAGGGCCGGGACTGCCATCTGGCAAGTTCATTACCCTCACACATCTCACCCCATGCACTCCCAGCAGAGTATTCCTGACACACAACCATATGCCATCGCTCAGTCTGAGCTGGCGTCTTCCGGGCCCCAGAGGGGCACCTGAAAACAGCTGGGGTTCATGCGTGGCCCACGGCACTCGGGGCTGGTTCTACATACACCCCTTTCTGCTTCCCCTCACCCCTTCCTCCTCCTTTTTCTTAAAGCAAACAAACGAAGATGTAAGTTTCCCACTGGTTGTTCTTGGTCCTCAACACTGCAGGGGAGAGAGAGACTTAAGAGCCAATATGCTTTCTCGATGGATCCTCCTACGTAGCAGGCATCGGAAATTGGGACAGACTCAGAGTTGAGGTTTCCTGAGCCATATTTTATCACCCCTGTCTGCCTCTTCCTGTCTCCAAATTCAGCACCGTGAAACTCTGGCCTCTGGTCCAAGTGCCAAAAGGCGAGGAAAGGGGATTTTCAAACTGAACACAGCGGAGACATGGGGAGAACTCCACTCCTTCTTCTCTTCTTCTTTTTTTTTTTTTAAGATTTTATTTATTTATTTGACAGAAAGAGAGAGAGAGAGCTCAAGCAGGGTGGAGCAGCAGAGGGAGAGGGAGAAGCAGACTCCCTGCTGAGCAGGGAGCCCATCACGGGGCTCCATCCAACACCCTGGGACCTGAGCCAAAGACACTTAACCGACTGAGCCACCCAGGCGCCCCCCTCCTCCTCCTATTTTTTTTTTTTTAATTAAGAGAGGGAGAGACGGGCACCTGAGTGGCTCAGTGGGTTGAGCGTTGGACTCTTGGTTTCAGCTCAGGTCTGATCTCCGAGTCGTGGGATCGAGCCCCGCATCAGGCTCCACTCTAGGTGCGGGGTCTGCTTGGGTTTCTCTCCCCCTCTCCCTCTGCCCCCCCAACCAGCACTCTCTCTCTCTCTCTAAAATAAAGGAATGGATAAATCTTTTGAAGAAGAGAGAGAGAGGGCAGGGGGAGGGGCAGAGGGAGAGAATCTTTTTTTTTTTAGGGAGAGGGAGAGGTGGGGAAGAGGGGCAGAGGGTGAGGGAGAGAGAGAATCTTAAGCAAGCTCCACAACCAGTGCGGAGCCTACAGAGAGCTCGTTGCGGGGCTCGATCTCACAACTCCGAGATCATGACCTGAGCCGAAATCAAGAGTCAACGCTTAACCGACTGAGCCCCCCAGGCGCCCCTCCACACCTTATTCTTAAAGACTTCTTTCATTGTCAATAACTCACCAAGGACCTCCCGTGTCCCACCCCCCAACTGTTACCTCCCATCTAGCCCAGTGCTGTAAAGAGCCCTAAATAGCCAAAGAGTATGGGCTTTATTCCCTAGGCAAAGGAGTTTGGGGGCCCTCTGAGTGTTTTGGAGGGGGGAGAGCCACAATACAAGTAGCGTTTTTCAAAAGATCATTCCAGCTGCGGGACGTTTGATTGATTGGAGGAGTGAGGGAGCAGAGGCAGAGGACAGATGACTCCACTAACATGGAGTGCCATCCAGGCAGAGTGACATCCGGGCACGGTGCCAATAAATGCTGGTTGAACTGAGCTGCTCTGACTTGGGACTCAGGAGGGAGGAACAAACTTGAGAGATGTCCTAAAGAAGGGTGATCACTCAGTCGGTGATTGGGTAAGGGGGAGTGAAGGGACAATCAAGGCTCCAGGGCTGCAAGGTTCTGAGCCTGGGAGCTTGAATTGGTGGCCCCATGCCCAGAAAAGAGAAAAGCCAGGAAAGGGTGCTCGCTTAGTGGGGAAGGATTCTGGTCTTAAATAAGCTATTATGAAAACATTACATTTATTGGGGGCTTTTTTTTTTTAAAGATTTTATTTATTTATTCATGAGAGAGAGAGAGGCAGAGGGAGAAGCAGACTTCCCGCAGAGCGGGGAGCCCGATGCGGGACTCGATCCCAGGACTCCAGGATCATGACCTGAACCGAAGGCAGACGCTTAACCATCTGAGCCACCCAGGCGCCCTTTATTTATTTATTTATTTTTTTAAGATTTCATTTATTTATTTGTGAGAGAGAGAGCCCAAGAGGGGGTAGGGTCAGAGGGAGAAGCAGACTCCCTGCTGAGCAGGGAGCCCGACTGGGCCTCGATCCCGGCACTCCGGGATCATGACCTGAGCCGAAGGCAGTCACTTTACCAACTGGGCCACCCAGCCACCCCGGGGTTTTCATTTTCTAAAAAGTAAGCAATGTTCGCTGTAAAACTTTTAGAACACAGGGAAAAATGACAAACGAGAAAACAACAACCACTCATAACATTTATATGTGTTTCCCTCCAGTCTGCATACTTTTTGTTTCTTACAAAATAGGGATAATTCTGCAAATTCCTTTTCATAGCCTGACGCTTAATAGATGGTGGATGTTTCCTTGAGAAATTAAGCATACTTCTAAAACGTTATTTGTATTGGCCACATAACATTCCACTGAGCCAATCTTCTACTGCTAGACATTCAGCATGTTTCCAAGTTTTAAACAATATAAACAATAATTCTCGTTCTTACAGGTTTGCATAGATCTTTGATTATTGGCTTAAGTTAAATTCCTAGGATTGAAGCTCGCTGGGTCCAAGGGCACACACATTTGAAAGACTTTGGTACATACTGAGAAATCATTCAATAGAGAATAGTACAAACGTCTATTTCCACCACAAATATGTGAGAGGGTCTGTTTACCTATACTTAGACCAACACTAAGTTTCTGAAGCTTTTTAACCACTGTGAAAAGAATCATTGAAAAATGGCATCACGTTTAATTTGCATTATATTAGTGAAGGTGAACATTCTTTTTATAGTTCAGCTCTATACATGTGTTGTGTATATGTACACATATATGTGAGTTGCCTATTCATGTCCTTGCCCATTTTTTTTAAATTGGTGTTTGTCTCTGTCTTATGGATTTGTGAAGGCATGTTTTTCAAAGATTTTATTATTTATTTATTTATTTATTTATTTATTTATTTATTTATTTATTTATTTATTTATTTAAGAGAGAGAGAGAAAGAGCGAGAGCATGAGCCGGGGGAGGAGCAGAGGGATAAGGCCAAGTAGATTCCAAGCTGAGCACAGAGCCCAATGTAGGGCTCTATCCCAGGACCCTGAGATCACGGCCTGAGCTGAAATCAAGAGTCAAACACTTAACTGACTGAGCCACCCAGGCGCCCCAAAGCATTTTGTATGTTAAGGAAAATAAGACAGTTTTGATTTTCTGGTGAGACATGCAGAAGAAATCCAACAATTACCCATATGGGATTGTAGGCTCAAGGAGAATTCAGGACTGGGGTATGAATTTAGGAGTGGGAGGTATGAAACTGGATGTGTTCTCCAAGAGACAGTACAGAAAAGAGCTGGAGATTGAATATAGGAAATGCCCACAAGTAAAGAATGGGAAGATGGAAAGGATTCTTCCATGAAAGGGAAATGATCAGAAAAATAAGAGATGACCCAATCATTTTCTAGCACCAGAGGCCAAGGTTGAAGTCAGGAAGAATTACAGAGAAATAAACACTAATCTGGAATTTGGTGAAGGTCAC